CAATAGACTAAGCTTGAAGCCAAACTTTTCTTCCTAATTCCAACTACATAGGATTTTATTGAAAAATACTTGGTAGTGTAAAAAAGGTACATCATACTGGAACTTGTCTTACACTATAGGTCCATCTAGCTGAATATTATCTAAATTAATTAGTAGTGGTCCTCCAGGGTTTCAGACTATAGCTTTCTTAGAAATAGCTATAGGTCCATCTAGCTGAATATTATCTAAATTAATTAGTAGTGGTCCTCCAGGGTTTCAGACTATAGCTTTCTTAGAAATAGCTGGAACCTGCTGGATACTGAATTTGAAATTTTTCCTATAATTGCCTTGACCAACATTGACCAACCCACATAGATTTATAACCCAGAAAATTATAAAGCCTTACATCTTCTTAGGGATATGAAACAGCTTTCACAGCCTAAATGAGAATCATATTCTACATCAATAAGCTAGTTAAACACTAATGTTGACTCTTACTGATTATTACTGTAGATATTCCATAGCTGGCTCCTGGCATTAAACTGAATCCTGAAGCTCAACTCTAGTTCAGATTTAGCATGTAAGTTAAACTGTAAAGGATAAGTTACACTGACTATGCTGCTGCTGCTGCTGCTATCATCATCATCATCATCATCATCCCTTTCTACCCAGAGTACTCAAGGTAACTCTGTATGCTATATATAGACAGATACACACATAGGAAAAATAAACTCTCTTCAGTGTCTTCCCCACAATGCATGATCATTAGTATTGTTATCAGAAACAATCTGAGCACTTAGAAATTGAACATTATAATTCCTAACCTATTCAATTTGCCTAAAGTATGCTCATATTCAATAGCTTAAATTAAGGCAGTACTTTAAAGACTGGGATGCAAAACGTGTCTTTCAAAGGAAATTGAGTTTAATCTGTTCCACCACAACGTGAGAAATGGACAAAAATGTATCAATAGTGCTTTCAGAACACAAAAAAATCCTTACACATGCTGGCATTAAAATATGCTGCAAAAGCATTTCAAAGAGTTATGTTCTTATAGATTTTTAGTGATGGTGAACCAGGTGCCTTTGTAAAAATTATCCAATAAAAAACTAACCTGCAGGACTGAACAAAAAGTCTTCTCACAAAAAGTCTTCTCATGTACAATTCATATATTTTATAATACCACTTAATGTGTGCTTGTGGACTGTCATACTTTCCCAGTTCCTGAACTGAAGCATTTCATCATCAGGAACATTTGCTTATCCATAACATTAAACTACAATATTCCTATTGTTGCATGTAATGTCAGTGTATACTGATTGATTGGATGATTATACACCATCAAGTCATTGTCAACTCTTGGCGACCATATAGATTTTCTCCATGACGATCTGTCCCTAACCTGCTCCTTCAGGTCTTCCAACAATGCACCCATCGCCATTGTAAGCAGCTGCTGGCCACCCTTCCCAGCATTAGCACCTTCTTTAGAGAACTAGGTCTTTGCATAATGCATCTGAAGTAGGATAGTCTGAGCCTGGTCATTTGTGCCTCAAGTGAGAACTCTGTGTTGATTTGTTTGATGATCCATTTGTGGTTTATTTTCTTGGCTGTCCATGGTATTCTAAGAAGCCTTATCCAACACCAACGTTCAAAAGCGTCAATATGCTTTTCTATCCTGTTTTTCAAAGTCCAATTTTTATTTCCATAAAATGTCACAGGAAATACCATTCCCTGCATTATTCTGATCTTTGTAGGTATAAACACATCCTGGCATCTGAGTATCTCTTCCAAGGCCTTCATGGCTACTTTACCAAATGCTAGTCTGTGACGTATTCCTTGATTGCTTGTTCCTTTACTGTTGATGGTTGACCGTAAAACACAGAAGCTATCTATCACTTCAATGTCTTCATTGTCAATTCTAAGGCAGGTTGTACCTGTTGCCACTATGGCATTGTATTAGCACAGAATCATAGAATGAAAAGGACCTCTGAGGTCATCAGATCCAATCTTCTACTCAGTGCTGAATTTGCTAAAACATTTTCAACAGATGGCCATCCAGCCTCCATTTGCAGACCTTCACTGAAAGGGAACATACTACCTCAGGAGAAAACCAATTTTATGCCACTTAGAAACATTTAAACAATTTACTGTAAATGCTTCCTTTATACAAATGGGGATTGCCTTTTAGCTTTTAAAAAAATATTTTGAAGAATGAGATTCAAAAGAATGGGTAGGGGATGAGATACTAACTGCATTTTCCTGGACCTGTCTTGTAAATGTTATTTTTTTACCTGGTTTTTGTTTATTCTTGGAAGAGTTTGCACCCATTTTGTCAATTGATCCTCATTTTCTATACTTCAATTTGAAATGCTATAATTTGGTAGGGCTTTGCTATCAGCCATGAATCTCAGGTCATTCACCTCCTTGATTATGCTTAGAAAAATATAGCATTTTCTCTTTTACAGAGGGATTATTGCATTTCCTAAGACATGAATGCTTTTTTGGAAGAATTCTAATAAAAGAAAAAATTCCCATTAAGACCAGCCATGAAAATCAAGGGGCCATCTCTTTTCTATATTATATTTTAAAACAAAGAAACAAGAACTTGGTATTAGATTTAAATAAACTCTTGAAAGTCCCATATTAAATTATCATTATTCCGATATTCTATGATGTATATAAATATCTACAGTGAGCTAGAAATAACCTAGAAACTGACAGGCATTTCTGATACATCTAAAAATTGAACATTAGTATACAATTACATTGTAAGACAAGAAAGAAAATGAAGGTAGTTTCTAAATAATGAAAGGAGGAGGAAGAATCCAAAATGAAAAAAAAAAAGCCTCAAGAATTTATTGGTTTAAATTCTTTTTTTTTTTTTTTTACATGAACCTTTTCACCTTTATCCAGTCTTTGTTGTTTCCTTATAGGTTCTATGAATGCCTGCACAAACATTCTATGCATACCCCAATAGTTAGGAAAATTATCACATTGGAGAAACAATAAATCTTGTATAACTCTGCTTCTGTTTCAGATGTTGGTAGCTTTGTCAAAGAAAACATTATTTCTTCAAATGTAAGAACTGAAGACTCTTCCATTTAATAATGGTAGACTCTAGGGATAAATCTGCATTCTTATGCTGAAAGATCCGAAATAACTAAATTATCTGACTTTTCTCCAATTTCAGACAGAGATAAGAGTTCATCTGTTTCATAATCATCTTCAAAGGAACTACAAGAAATGAATAAAGAGATTAACAATGAAATAGTATGGCTATCAATTTCTAGTTTTCAAATGATACTAATTTTAGAATATATGAAGACAAGTATACTATAAAAAGCATAGCCCTATGAAACCTAAAGACAAGCAAGTCTGAATTATAGGCCAATAGTTAAATGTAAGTAAAGGACTCATATGAAAATAAAGTTCAGGATACAGGCTGTGATAATTCAGCATAACATTCAAATGTAAAAATTGCAAATGTTTTTATAGCCATTTTCCTCACTGTCTACCTATTTTTCTCATTTTTTTGGTATATGCATGTGCATGTACATATATATCTATATTGACACAGTATATGTTTTGCAAAATTAATAAGGAAAATCCTTCCATTCCCCAAATAACTGCTTTAGAAGGAAGAGATAGTTCAACAAGAGTTGGGCTCAAACAGTACAGGAAAACGCACACTGCATTTGAAGATAGTTCCTCTTTACCCCTGAGATAAAGTAGCTTCTAAGATGAATGCTGCTCATTCATCTCACTTTTCTCACATTTGTAAGTGATCTTTCTCAGAGTGTATGGACATGTCATTCCTTATTGGAGGGGGGTTAGAGAAGGAGAATGTGCAGGTTCCCAGAACACAGATTATTCTTAGGTCTCTAGAATAAGCATGGCATAACAGGATATCTCTATTAGGAGTGCTGGAGAAGAAAAGTATATTTGGTTGGTAACAGACAGGGTGTTTCCAAAATAACTACGCTGCTCTGAAATACTGCCCATCTTCATTCCATCTTACCAAAATTAGTCTGTAAATAAATGAATCAAGGCTGAGCTTCCTCATGATGAGCCAGTTTCTTTTTCCATGATGTTTTTTTCAACTTTCCAGTCTAGCATTAAATGGATGGTCCTGATGGCCTTCCCTCCAAATAATAACCAGGTCAAACCATGCTTAGCATTTTGAAATCAGCCAAGGTAGGCAAGGCACTACCAAACATTCACATTAGCATTCCAAGTTTAGTTGCAAACAGAACAGTCCTACCTTCTACTGTGGATTGAGGTCAGAGCCTCTAAAATATCCAAAATCTTTTCACCTGAGCATGTCATTTAATCTGTTTCTTTTTTAACTTCATCAGGATTTTGTTTTAATATTTCCATCCTACTGCAAACATTGGGAGGAATTATTTTAGTCATAGGGCTGGTAAAGATTTCCTACTGTGCATTCAAAATAACTTCCAGGGACTGCCACTGACCCTGGAATGGTAAGGACTGCAGATGTTTTGCAAGGCCTAGGGAGTGGGGTTGCGAGGTTAGGCTTCTTTTTTTATCTTACCACTGGTTAGACGTTTAATTAGCCATCAGATTTTTATTCTTAGTAACATAATTTTCTCTGCTTTAATACATTTGTCATTTGAACCTTATTTAAAAAAAAAAACATTATCTTCTAGTTTCAATAATGAGTTTCAGAACTTCTTGGAACAGCAACTTTAAGTTGATTTTGCTTACCCTTCTTGTAACTGTACATTGCCAGACTCCTCGGCTACAAGAATTTCATATTCCTCAGCAGCATATCTGTCCCAGTCAGAGGGTTCTGGACTATCATTTTCAACATCCTTAATAAATGGATTAGAAAGAAACAGATGAAACCAAACAAGTCTGTTAGATTATGATAATTGTAGACAGCTGCAATAAATAAGGTAATAAAGTATTAGTAAGCATTTAAAGGAAAATCATTACATACTTTTTTGGTAATTATCTCTAAATGAAATGTCCTGCAAATATTATGGTAAGTTTCTGTTCAAACATACAAAATAATTAAAGACTAACAATTCTTGTTTGTATATATCTGAATTTAGACAAGCCAATCAAGACTTTCTTAATTACCATTCATTTCAGCTAAACAGTCAGATCCACATGTATAGATAATTCTTGGGTTACATCCATTCATTCAGCGACCATTCAAAGTTACAACAGCACTGAACGAGGGAGACTTACAATCAGCCCTCGGAGTTCTGGCCATCGCAGCACCCCCACAATCATGTGATTGCGAATTGGGTGCTTGGTGCCTGGCTCATGATTATGAGGCAGTGAGCCACAGTCATACAATCGCAATTTCTGACATTCCCTGCTGGCTTCCCACAAGCACAGTCAATGGGGAAGCCAGTAGGAAGTTGGAAGTTGTGGTCATGTGAGGTCCTCACTTAACAATGGTAACTGGGACTGCTGTTGCTAAGTGATGCAATCACATGACATTACACTTTATGACCACATTGCTTAGTAATGGCAATTTGGGTCCCAATTGCTGTCATAAACTGAGGACTACCTATTCAAAAAAATGCAAACTGGAGATCCAGCCCTGAAAGTAAAGATTAAATTACATTTAAAAAGATCTCTGGATTGGACTCAGCATGTCTTCAGGTCAATTACATGCTGTATACAGTACTGTGCAAAAGTTTTAGGCAGGTGTGAAAAAATGCTGTAAAGAAAGAATGCT